CACAAAGTGCCACCATGTGGGTGAGTATCACCGTGGAGAGGTCTGGAAACCGTGGCATGTAAAAAAGTAACTAAAAAGAGAAAGGACCCTTTTCCACGAGTTTAGTATAGGGCTAGACCTAAATTTTTAAAATTTATTGTATCTAATACTTGGGGAGATACTGTATATCAAATTGTTCACATCCGTATATTAAAAAACAGAAATTTGCTTGCATGTGTAACATTGCTCTCATCAAGCTATCGAATCATGTTTCTAGTTATTCTTTATTCATTACTCGTACATTTTCTTGTGACAGCGAACAGTTCAACTTTTATAAAAATCAACTGAATTAAACGAAACACTCTATTTAGCCCATGTTGATCGAGAAAAAAGCATTTTTACGGAGTAGATAGGAGCAAAACTACTGGAAATCTTGAAAAGTTACGGTCTGAACACGCATTTAAGAAGCATTTGTAAAAGCTTGTTTAATATCAGTGAATGTACTGTTAGAACCAACAGTGGACACTTAGAACCATTCACCATAAAATCCGGGATACAACAGGGCTGTGTCCTGTATTCCCTTCTCTTCATAACTTACATTAATAACATTTGTAAAGAAACTAACCAAACAAGGATTATAATATACAAAGAAGGTGAAGATCCAAAGCCAGACAGTTTATCAGCGAACACCTATTCTCCGAAAACCACTCACTAACTGCTACTTCAGAAACTGAACTGCAAGACAATATAAATTATTTAAACCAAATTTGCAAAGAGCATAACTTTAAAACTAACGCCAACAAAACAGAGGCCATGACCACAGTTAAAGTAGACAAAACAATATCCAGCTTACAGAACACCCTATAAAACAAACCAAGAATGTCAAATACTTAGGGAGCATAATATCATCAGCTGGCAAAACAGAGGATGAGTCCGATAACATGTAACAAGGCAAACCAACACATTAGGCAAACGTCACCAATACTAATAAACAAACATGCATCAATATAAACCAAAAGTGCCGCTCTACAATACAATCTTTTTGCCAACCTTGTCCTAATAATGTCAGGCCTGAACAATGAAAGAAAAGGCAAAAAGAAAAATGACAACTGAAATGAGATTTCTACCAAGGGCTCTCATTATGACAATAAGAGATAAGATCAGAAACGATGACATCCGACGGAAAATGGGAGTAGCAGTAGCTCTGGATTTCATTACAAGACGGCAGGCGAAATGATTTGACCATTTAACGCGAATGTCAGCAGACGGTATACCACAGCAAGCCATGATGTACAGATCACACAGGAAGCGAGGAAGAGACCAACCATGCAAGCGAAGGGCCGAGGGAATTACAGAGCCCTAGGAATCCCACATTTTAAGCCGAGACGCCGCAAGGTACAAGTGGTTCAAGATGAGATAAAATGAAATTAGGTGAGATGAGATGAGATGTGAGAATATCTCTGTGTTGATACAACAGATCCATGTTTAGAGAATAAGCATCCAAACTAACAATAATCTTTCTACTTGTTCTTACACTCGAGACATTTGCTTCGTTTACATAGTCACTTCTCTAGCTACATCAGCCATCTTTGAGCTCATCTTTGTTCTTGTAGACAGTACAGATCGTAGATTTGGTCATGTCCTACATGGAGACTGTGAATGAAAAGAGAGTTATTGAAATAAAATGAAAATAAAAAAAATAAAAAAATACAGTTTAAATATTGTGGCCGCATTCCTCTTTGGAGAAAGGCCAAAGAGAAGATGAGTGCAGGATGTGGCGGATGATTTCCAGATGGGTGTTTCTTGCTTGCGATGGAGTGGTTTTCCTGAGGGTTGTTATGGGAGCAAGGTTCTGCAAAGGACATGCTACTGACTGAATGAATGACTGACTGAAGGACTGACTGACTGACTGACACTAAAAGACATAATACTCCTTTAATACTTTTTTAATCTTTCAAAATACCGTACTTGAGAGAAAGTTCGATGGCATGAGATCAAGAGGCAGAGAACGTTACAAGTGGAAGGACATCATCAAGAGATAGAAGAACAACAGTCTTACAGGGTGTACAGTCAAGACAAGAGGCAGAGCCGGTTGGAGATCCATTGCAGCCAACCTTTATTATGGAGACGGCGCCCGAGTAATTGATTGATTAGTGCGGGCTGTCATCACAGCAGTCCAGATCCACAGGGGATTCGATCTCCTCCAGGCTAGCCTCACAAGTGTAAAAGGACTGGTCACGTCCATTCTGTGTTGACTGATCACACGTTTTGTCTTCAGAAAAATGTTCATGTCTGGGCCTGCGCTAGGTCGCATTTCCATATCCATCAATTTGGACAAGGGAACATAGAGCTGCGCTGGGTCCGTGGCTAAGGCGTTGCGAGTCCGACTCGTAATTCCAACGTACCGCGATCGAGACCTATGCTAGATGCGTGGATTTTTATCATTTAATGAGACGTCGCAGGTCGACCCAGCTTAAAACGGGTACCCGTCTTTACTGTCTTGGGAAAGTAAAGACGGCCAAGTGGAATGCTGACCACATTACCCACCCAGCGCCGATTGGTCTGTAAAATTATGGGATGCCCGATGCGCCTGAGGCGTGAAAAGGGATCTTTACTTACATAGTCCTGCCTGTTATGATCTTCTTTGCAATATGCGTCTTACATGACATTAATGACACCAATCCTGTCCTGTGCCCAGACGGCCATAGTATTCGTCAGATAATCTGCACGTTCGTTGCCTTGAACACATATTTGTACGATACAAAGATAAAAGTTTTGCGAATTCGCGATTCATTTAATGAAAGAAGTCATTCTTGTCCGATAAAGGCGGCTTTGTTGTTCCTGGTAATATTCTTTGTTGCTTAGTATGCACGCACGTGTGAATTCTTGAGTACTCAGCCATTCCAGTGGTCTTTTTTGCTGCCACGGTCTCCTTTTGTGAAGCTTAGGACCCTGGTTCTGTGTTACGATTACATGACCTTTAAGTGAAACCTAGTGAATCACGTCTGTGCCGTCTTCAAGGACAAGAACAGGAGACTGTCTCATGGAAGCAGTCAGTAGAGGTACCTTGGGTACTGTATGTGCTACCTAAACTAAAGACCTACACCGCGTTTCAGAACGTCACATCCTGGATGATAAACCAATAAGGCTAATTCCAGATTCCCAGGTTCAAACTTTAAAGAAGTCATCATTAGGGTACACGCAGCAGCCACACAGTTACTTCACATGTGTACCTAACAGTCTTGTGTGGGTATTGACATTATAAGAGTCATTTTACCTCCCTAAAATACATATTAGGTCTAACACGAAAGACATTTGGTGCCATGATTAAGTTCTGCAAATATAATACATTTAAAGGAATTGTTTCGTTAAAATATGAAAGGGTATAAGCCGCCTTGTTTTCCCATTCAATACCAGTAACGATAAATTGCTTTCAATGTATACTCGTTTTGTGATTATACTGATACTAAACGAGTGAAATAATGCGGTACTTTACTCCAGTGTTTAAGTAAGTACACACCTCCTCCTGACAAAAGCTGAAAATTACGCTATTTCTGGTCTGTGATCTTTAGGTTAGTGATGTTTCTTGAAATCAATCTCCAACATGGCTTATGTAATTCGATCCTGGCTGTATAAATATAAAGTCGATTATACTATTAAATCAAAAATGTCGTAATTTGAGAACGCAAAAACGTACTGCTTTTAAAGTTCTTCATGATCGCTGAGGACGAAGCTAATATATTTAATTAGGCAAAGATCAACATAGCAGCTCTCGAGCCATAAATTACGGGTGTGACCTACTTTTGGCACACAACAGAGAGTGCTTATACTAGCTGTGTTACTAGCAGTCTGGTTAACTGCTCACCTTTTCTTATCCCTAAGCATTGAATACGGCCTGATCTGCTGGAGTTGTGATGACATAATTACTCTAAGCAGGGTTCATCAATTGAAGCTAATACGATAAAGTTCAGACTGTAACAAAGCTGATAAACAAGTTAACATTTGTTGATCAGGATATAGAAAGAAACAGAGAGGCAGAAAGACGTATTAGACAACTTCAAAGTCGAAAGATATAGTTCCATCCTGGAAATCGAACCCGTCACCTCCTTTGGATACAAGTGCACTTAGATGCATGACTGACTAGGCACCATTAAAAACGTGTCATCGTTAGCCAGGTCGGTTGTAGAGGCTTGAAACCATAACTTCCGAATACGGTCACAGTCGTCTCAGACCAGTGAAGTAGCACCATAGGTTACATCAATAAAGTTGAGTACAATGAACTAAAGTTGAGACACAGCTCTCGGGCCATTCCCATAGACACTTCATCCACGCCTTCAGCAGCAAAAGCAGAGTTCCAATACTAAAAATGTCAGTCTGATTATATGTTCCTGTTGCCTTTTGTCTAGGGATTACATGTCGGCACATCTGAATGATATTCTGAAGAAATAATTACCATAGAATTACTATAATACAGTGTGACTGGAAAAAGTGTACTTCTAAAGCCGTTGGGAATAGCCAATCTTCAGCATAGCGAAACTGAGGCTAACTCAGCTAACGAACCCTTTGCATAGGCACCACATCCCCATCTTCAGCAGCCAACTCAGAGCTACATTATCAATGGTACTAATGTAATTTGAAATGATATCTACGACTTGCCTTTTTTCGTGTTTGTTGTGTAGCGGCCAGTTTGTTCTGAAGAAAGAATTACCGTAGGCAAATTTGTCAGTGCCACGTATATATTTCTGCATTCATTGAAGGTACATTTGTCAGTGCCACGTATATATTTCTTCATTCATTGAAGGTACATTTGTCAGTGCCACGTATATATTTCTGCAGTCATTGAAGGTACATTTGTCAGTGCCACGTATATATTTCTGCAGTCATTGAAGGTACATTTGTCAGTGCCACGTATATATTTCTTCATTCATTGGAGGCACATTTGCCAGTGCCACGTATATATTTCTGCAGTCATTAGAGGTACACTAGTTTAGTCTAAAACAAAGCTGACAATTACCATAAGCATGATCACAATGTCAGAACAAAATGGCTGCTGTAGCACCCTACAACCAGGCCAGGCTGTCCACCATAAAGATAACAGTCCAACTATAACCACCATCAACATAATCATCAACTGTTTTCTTGTAAACATTGCAGTTATCATCGGTTCCTTTGGAAATATCATTACAATATTTATCTTATCCCGAAGCAAAGTCAAGGACACTAGTAGTATTTTATTGATATCAATGGCTGTATGGGACCTACTTTTTCTTGTCAATCTTTTTGTTTGTAAACTAGACTGCATCATTTTTAGATACGATCCTGTCCTGGCGCAAATGTACTATCCATACATATTTGGTTACGTCCGGCGGCCTGGTCGTATGGCGGCATTTATTAGCTTTACACATGTTGTTGTTATCTCATTTGAGCGACTACTGGCTGTATTTTATCCTTTTCAAGTTTCGCATTGGATAACCGAGGCTACCATTCTTACAATTCTTACATGTGTATATTTCTTTTGGATCGTTTCTTTCCTGCCCTATACTGTTGCTAATTACGAAATAGAATGGGCTTTAACAAATAATTACACCTTAATGCTCCCTGCTTTGAGAGAAACCCAGTGGTTTGTTCAAAATAAACCAATATTCACGGTAATTTCTGAAATTATCAACGGAGTCATTGGATCATTATCTGCTGTGGTAGCTGCTAACTGTTGTGCAATTACCTATCAGTTGCATTATGCTTTACGACATCGTTCATCGATTACCTCCAAGTCGTCAGCCGGAAATAGACGAGAGGTGAAAATTTCTCGAATGCTCCTTGTCGTCTGTGTTGTGTTTAGCTTTTGCAATCTGCCTGGGTTTTCTATCTACATTTATTTCTTTGCAGATCCTGACATGAAACCGCCAAATCAACTGTTCGTTTTACTGAATAATGTTGAGGAACTGATGCTGGCAGTCAACGCGGCCGCCAACTTTTTTGTGTATATTCTCTTGTCTGAAAAGTTTTACAAGTCTGTTGTAAGTTTATTTGTCTGTCAGCGGTTTGCAACATCAATTAAATGATTTAATAGGTCTAAGAAAGCATGAAGGAATAAATGAATGAACTAATGAAGGAATTAATTGAATGATGGAATAAATCATTGGTGGACCAAATTTAAGAAAACGTTAATTAATTTACTGAATGAACTAAATAAACGAATATGTGAATTAAGAAGAATAAAGAATGAATGCATCAATAAACGCATAAACGATCCAATGAATGAATGATGGATCTAATTAAAAATAAATGCAATCATAAATGAATGAATCAATCAATCAATCAGTCGCTAAATAAACTGACATCAGTACATCACTGCAGTCAACATATTACCCCCCGCCCCCTTTTTTCCCCCTCCAGTAACCTACCAAGGGTTCTCAAGTTGGTGTTAGCAGCAACACATTTATAAAAACTAAAAGAAGACACAGTTTATTGCCAATCATATGTTAAAGTGGAAGTGTTATAATGATCACACCAATTATTCTAGGCCGACTCTTTTTCACTTTCTTTTTCAGCATTCTAAGCCCTTGACGTTCTTTACTGCGGATACCACATGTTTCATTTCATCTTTACGACTGGTCATCTCTTTTCAATAGGCGACTCCAGTTGTCTGTAGCTCTGCTGGTTGCGTATCCTTTACAGGAGGTTGCAAAACAGCCCCAGCATGTTTTGGTTATTGTGGTTTTTCTAGGCAAATTTTACGTTCAGTAGTTTGCCATTGCTTCCTAAACGGTCAGCTCTCGGTACCACGGTCGAAACCAAGGCAAGACAAATCGTCCGCAGCTGGGATCCAATCCGTCACCCCCGCATTACGAAGGACGTTCGCAACGTCTAAGCCACGAACTCCGTAGGTCTGGTTGTATATTATTTGCCGGGTTCGATCCCAGCTGCAGACGATTTGTCTTGCGTTGGTTTCGACAGTGGTATCAGGGCGCCGACCGTCCAGAGGTAATGGCAAACTACTAGGCGTAAATTTGACTACAGAAACCACACAACAGCCAGGGGTAGCTGGGGTTGGATCTGCAACGTCCTGTAAAGGATACGCAACTAGCCTTCATGGTCTGCCACATGGACTTCTTCTTACACTCCATGCCATATGCCGCCGGTAGTCATATCTTTTCCCAGCCTTCTGTCTCGTTTATTTTCAACAATTTGCGGCACAAATAATCTCCCTTGGCCTTCCTGTCAAACTGCCCAGCATCTTAAATATGAATACCCCTTTGCCTCTTTCACATTCCAGCTTTCCCAGCGTGAACTACAACTGTTATTCTCTTAGGAGTGAAACTTAAAACTGCCGTGAAACAACCACCACTGCCTGTATTTACTAGGTAGTGGGGTCTTTGAACCTGAGGATTTACACCCGCATAGCTAGTGCTGTGCACTTTAGGATTTTATTTTTGCCCCCGACAGGAAATATATAACTATCCACAAGCCTTACAGGTGATTTGATCTCCCTCATGAGAGCCATGTGTTCTTAACCATTCGGCTTGCCTCTCCTCCACTGATTAGAATACTCCCTTGTGTGCGTTCCAGGACCCAGTGTCGGCTGTAAAATAGACACTGACTGACTTTTTACCCCACCAGGACATCAGACAAGCGAGAAACACCCGGTAACACAAAGTACCATCATGCGGATGAGGATAACTCGTTGAGAGGTCACAGAAGCCCCCTATAGCCGTTAGGCTATATCTATGGCTAGGCCATATTTATACCCCCAGCTATATTCAGGGTCCCTGGCAGAAGCCAGGGTGGGGCTTCAAATAACGAAAAATTGCACACCTGGGGACAACTGATTGTAGTAGTAGTAGTACATTTTACCCAACTAGGACATCACACAGGCTATTAACACCCGATAACACAAAGTACTACCATGTGGATGAGGATCACCAGTGGAGAGGTCCAGGAAACCGCGTTCAGCCATTAGACAATATTTATGGCCGAGCTATATTGCGGCCCCGGGCAAGAGCCAGAGTGGGGCTTCAAAATAAAGAAAAATTGCATCCTACAAGGAGATTACTAGCTATTACGAACAAATAATCATTTTCCCTAGCAATCATATCGTTACACATGAGTAATTAGAGGTGTTTAGTTAAAACGTAGTTAGGAACCTACCTTACCGTCTGTAAAAAAAAAACGGGGAACAAATTGTAAAACGGTTATGCAGTGGACAATGAATCTGAAATTTTTTTCCGCGGTTTATAGCCGGTGAGGAAAAAACAGAAGGAAAAAAAACGGACACGGATAAAGCAGCTATAGAAAGACAAGCAATTTTCGCGATTTGCTTCCCTTAGACCAGTTAAGAATATCAGTGTTGGGGACGCGTTAGCGCAGTCGATGGGAGACTAGTTTTCAAATCCAGCTGCGACTCGCTGCAGCCCACGGCTGGTGTTTGAAACCAGGCGGTTTCCGGGGTTCACCAAGCCTCTATGTAATGGGTACCAGAGTAAACACTCTGGGGTAAATGGAGGAACGTCGCTGTAGCTACGGAGTGGCGTGCGGACGGCGACACAGGCGAACATTTTCTTATCAGCTGTCCCTACTGGTGGCAGAGCAGTTATGGTTTATAACCGTGTGCAATGACGCTAGTTTACATCTCCAGACCTTATATTTAGTGTCGAAAAGAGCTACAACAATTGCAATTATTATTGTTTCCCTACATGATAGGTTTGCATCAACTTCGTGCTCCCTTCCCGCTTGTAATACTGATGTATTATCTCCCAGGTGTCACTAAACTACTTTTCTGAAACAAAAGTATGATTTAAAACATGTTCGACACAGGCCTTTATTATTTTAGGCCATATAATCTCCAGACAGACAAAGTTGAGAATTGCTTGTTTGGGACTAAATGAGTATATTCGGAAGCTTTAGTCGGTATGGATCTGCAGTAGTATAGTGGCTTGATGTCTGCGATAAGTGAAACTCCATATCCCCGTCTAGATTGCTAGATATGGGGATACAGCCAGGAGCATCCAGATATGAATATTTCGCTATGGAACAAATTATTTTGTTAAATAATACACCAGTAGTCTGAAACCAAGCCGTCAAACAAGTTTGAAATTGAGTGCATGTATACTTTTAATTACCTGTCATAATAAAATCCATTTTGATTATAAACTAAAAGTTGCATATTAAAAAAAAAAGCGTTGTTAAATAAATGTGGAGAATGATCTCAATTGAGCCTTGTCCAACAAGTGACCTAAAAATTGCAGACATCATCACGATTAAACGGCGTCAGCCATCACATTGATATTTGGACGCGGTACAGCTCACGTTTTTAGACCCAGGGACACCATGACTGGCCGTTTATTTATGCGTCCTAACCTTTCACACACGTGACTTTATCTTACAGGGGTGTCAGGTTGCATAGTCTTCTACACTATTACGGGCGATATCCCTCGTTCAAAATTATACAACGTTACCGCCACTTTTCACGGCCCCATAACATCTACAACTGGCCCTAACTCCAACACCCCTATAGGATGGCCTCAGCATAGGTCCCACGAGAGAGTGCATTCTACGACCCGTGGCTTCAGACTTCTTAACATTTTGCGGTGGCCCCAAAACGCTGTGTTGCTCTAGAAAAGCTACAGTACCCTCTTGACTGAAAAGTCAGGAAGGATGAATGAACGCCTAATCGCGTCGTATTTTGGCCTGAGTTGTTGAGTTGTTCCTTGGACTCTAAATTATCAGCTGTTGGTGAATGTCTTCTTTTGTTATTCGACACTTTGATTTATGTGGACGATTCCCCCCCCCCCCCCCCCCCCCAATTCCTGTGGAACAACTCACTAGCTTGGGTTTGCTCATATAAAACCTCTGTATTGGACTGTTTATAAAATTTTTAAGAACTAAGAGCGTTTCAAAAAGTATACACAACACCGACAGTTATCGCATCGATTAGATGATTAGCTGGTCAGCATTTTTGCTGTGAGCCGGCTGATGCAGGTGTTCGAAGCTAAGAACGTGTGGATTATCAACAGATACCGCAGTTATCGTTAATGGTCCAGAACTGTGCAAAGGCGATGGCATCAATCTTCTCTTCTTCTTCTCTTCCACCTTGTACCTCATCGAAGTGTCGGGGGGAGATGTAATGTTCGTTAATGAGCTCTGTCAAGAGCACTATTAAGACTGATGTTCATTATGACATCAATGCCATACATTAAGCAAAGACAATTACAGCGATAAGGATAACTCCTTACGGTGACCAAGGTTGTGGAAATGACAGCCTGGAGCAGACATACATTTATTTCACTAAGAGCAGAAGATGTTTAGTTGATCAATACAGAGAGGGCGTGATCAGTCTAGTCTTTCAAACTAGTGGAGCTATGAAGAGAAAATCGAAGCTTCTAATAGACGTCACTGGAGTGCTGTGATAATGGTCCTTTTTAATCACCAGTCTTTGTTTAACATATTTGCTGAGATCATGAAAAGTCGTTATTTTGAATCAGTATTTAGTCTGTACTGTTTTGCACTGACGATGGCTGCTACAATATGTAACATTACCGTTGAGATTTATTTTACCTGTCTGCCACATCGTTATTCTGAAACAGCATTTAGTCTTTAACATATTGCACTACTGATCACAACTCATCATCATCATCGCAGGTTTCTGGGTCACCGGCTGATGTTGACTATCTGATCAGCTCCCTCCACCGTTGACGGTCAGATGCGACGGACTTCATGACTGCATGCCTACGCAATGTCTAATCAGTCAAATTCTGTCTGCAGGTCTTTCATGGTTTTCTCCTCTTTCCCTTTTACTGAATCCTGTGGTATTGTTTCTGAGTGGCCGTTAGATCTCATTACATGTCTGTACCAATTGTATTTTCCTCTTTTTGACAATTAAAGTCGTGAAAATTACCATTTAGTTGATTATTTTATCATTCAGCTTTATTTTACCAGTCTGCCACAGCCAATCAGACGAAGCACAGACCGATAAAATCTTCCAGACATAAAAGTGTACACGAAGAAGTTGGCCGCAGCATTTATTGCCATCATCATTTCTTCTAGATCACTCAGCAGCATGTAGAGCTTATTAGACGGCTCTAGTGACGAGTCTATGTTAAAATGGAGATAGATTGCAGAACTAGGAATGTTACAAACATTATACACAACACAAACAGCCAGTAACATTCGAGAAGCTTTCACGTCGATTTGACTTCTATTCTTGTTTGTTGAAGTGATTAATTTGCGTTGTTTTGACACAGTATTTAGTCTGTAGGAAATCGCACAGCTGTTGACCGCAACTATAACAGTAAACAACACGGTAATATTATTAATAACAATATGAGTCAGTAGATCGAATACTGGTTTATTCTCAAGAAACCATTGAGTTTCCCGAAACGTAGGCATTGTTTGGTTGTAGTTACTGTTGAACGTCCACTCTATTTGATAGTTGAAAACTGCATATGGGGTAACATAGGCTGTCCAAGCACAATAAATAAAGACTAGAATGCGCTTTGTTGTTTTCCGGGTGATCCACTGAGAAACGTGAAGAGGGAAAAACACAGATAGTAACCTCTCGCATGAGATGACAACTGTGTGGCTAACACTTAAAAACATAGCCAGGCGACTGGGTCGGCGAATGAACGATACGATATAGGGATAGTAAATCTCGGCTATTACTGGATTAATCATGTTTATAATACAGTTCAATTTACAAACAGAAAGATTTACCAAGAAAAACAGATCGCAAGCAGCCATTGACAATAATATAACACTACTTGTGTCTGTGAACGTCTTCCGGGATAAGATAATTATAGCTACGGCATTTCCAAATGTTCCAACTATGGCACATAAGTGAATAAGAAAACAGTTGATGGCTATACTTGAGATCGTTATGTATGGGTTATTACTCTCTTCAGGGTTGTTAATCCACACGGATAGTGTGCAGTTTATGTGAAGCATTTTAGATTTAGTTGAAATAATTCCCTACGTATAAAAAATTGGAGATAAGAGAGCGATAAAAATCTGCATACATAAAAACAAACGTTGAGTGGGTGTGGACAACGAAGAGGGGGATACAGAACAAAATCCTGCGCAATGAAGTGAGAGAGGGCCAGACACGGAGAGGTATGTAGGCAGGTGATTAAGTTCGACGTTAATCTCCCCAAACAGAATAGGTTACGCTCCATTGGTAACTTGTTTGGACTGGTCTACTTTCCGGGAAGTTACGGGTGTGTCGCTTTCTGGCTTGTCTTGCATTTACGCTTTTCTTCCGAGAAAAAGAATGCCTGTGACGTAGGTTGCAGTACTCTTTAGGGAGGTTGTGTGTAAGGCCCAGTTTATTCATGTTTTTGCAGTGTTAAAAGCGCTGACGTGCTGAAATATACTACACGCGATATCAACGGCACTGCAGAACACCTACGTAGCAGTGTGCGAAGACACGCGGCTCAGGAACTGCCAATCAGAAGTGGGTTAGTGTGTATATGGGCGGGCTCTAGAGGGAATATGGTGGAACTAACAGGCAGATAATATACGCAAATTAAACTGGTTTTTCAACCTGCTGCTGGCGGTGGTGTTGGGTGGGAAAGGGGTGGGGGAGGGGGAGGTGTGAGGGGAGGGGGGAGTGTCGCAAGGATGTTTCAAGAGGGCATCAAGCAATTTTTTTTTCTATCTTCGGTGTAGACTTCGGCAAAAAAGTTATGTTTGTTCGCCCATATATGGACTTGTGTTGTTCAAGAACATGAATTCTGCTTGCCCATCTGCTGTACTGATCTCATTAACGTGTACGCAGACTGTTGGTTCCTCGCCTCTTAGGCGGATGTGCTCCGACTTCCGAGAAAAAATCCCTACTTAGTAGCTTTTCACGACATGCTTTTTATGGTCTATCAAACCTGCATTACTTTACAATAACTGTCACCTCCTTCTGTGTCTTTGATGCTTGGCGATGTTATTCCGCATAAGCAGAAGTGGGGCCTGTGTTGCAATTGTCTCCTCTTGCATTTCAAACTAGTGGATGCAGTGTTGCCACTTTGGATGTTTTACATCCAGATTTAAATGCTTTCCCTGCATTTAGATGACGTTTTTGACGTTTAGATGGTAGATGTTTTTCTATAATTTTTTTCATTTGGAGTGAATTTATCAAATCTAACCTAAGAAACAGGATGAAATTTGACCTCTTAAATGCTATCTTGACAACAAAATTCGACCTGATAAGAGTAGGAAAAGGCTGTTCCACTTATCAGCTCCCTGATTGGGTATAAAAAGAAATTGAAACAGCCAAAGTATACCATAGTCATTTTGGATCTGAAGCTCCAACTTTATCATCCAAGCTAAGTTTATCCTGTGGATCTTGTAAGGCAGACTTCAGTAAAGGTGAGGACATGATTCTATAGGGTAAGTCTTATCAAATGCTATGAAATGTATGACTCTTTCTAATTGGATGTTTTTTCTAGATGTTTTCCACGCGAATTCAGATGTTTTAAGATATTTTTAACTCCGTTTTGGATGTTTTTTGTCAAAGGAAAGTGGCAACACTGAGTGTATGTACTTTGATAACATCGTTTCATCAGTTTCTTCTTCTTCAAAGCTAGTCATGCTAGAAAATATTTATAGACGACCACAGATAACAGAACTGGCTGTGAAATGAGTGACAGATAATCAAATTTTTACTGTATATATGAAGCAAAGTTACCGATGACGTTTTTGTTTTCATTAGTAGCTTTTTTGAAAGACTTAGATATCGCATCAAAGCTGGTAACCACACACGAGGTGTCAACAGCTCTTTTACGAGCGAGCTATAAAAAAAATATTAGATCGGATAACAGGTTCGAATCATTGCAACTGTACATTAAATGGTTAGAGCTTCACAAGTTTTTACATGGTATAAATGGAATGTTCCAGATACTAAGAGTCAGAATGATTACATCTTGATAAGAAAATGAGACTTTCGGGAAGTTGCAGATTCGAGAGTTACACCAAACTTGTGTATAGATACAGATTATATGATGGTGAAGTTTGACAGAATAGTCAAGATAAGTTATCAAACAAGAAAGAAATTTCACAAAAGTGACATAATTAAATTAAAAGAGCTAGTATGAAGAAAATAGGCAAGCATTTCCGCAAAAATAACAGGAAAATTATGAACAGCTTCCACAAAAAAAAACGTGGGGTAAATACAGAATGGGTGAATTTCAGAGACACCACTTTGAAAATAGCACAATAAATATGTGGAACTAAAATGAAAGGTAACGTAGGGCGTAAGCTCTCAACATGGTGGTCAGAAGAAATAAGGGAATTGGGAGCAATAAAAAGTAAGCCTATGGCATTTGCTAGGAAGCAAAACTGAAGAGAATTACATAATATACAGAATAATTAGAAGAAAAGTAAATAGAACTATCAGACAGGCAAAAAGAGATCATGGGAAAAGTTTGGAACCAAGCTGGCTGAAGAAGAAAGAACAGTAGTGAAAAACTACTACATTTGAAAAACAAAAAATGTTTCAAAAAAAGTCAAAGGCATGAGATACAGGAATTAAGAATATAACCCAACAGAAATTATAAATGACGAAGAAGGCCAACCTTTAATAGAACCTAATACAATTTTAGCAAGGAGGAGTAATTACTTTGAAACATTAATGTGATGCAATGAAACAGATGAAAGCAGTAAAGAACATAATAACAACTCTGAACTAACGGCAGAGGAACTAGAGCCAAGTATATTATAAGATGAAGTAGAATATGTCTTTCATACCGCCCTTAGACTTAAAGTGACAGGTATTGATGATCTACCTGCTGAGGCCATCAAGGGAGCAACATGGTTTAAGATAATATTTCAGGTGGCATGAGAAAAATCAAGAAACACTATCGCTGGCAAACCGCTGTCATTGTCCTGCTATGAAAAAAATAAAAGAAGTAAGATGGACTGTACTAATTACAGAGGAATATCGCTTCTCGATCACACTAAAAAATGTATGCTAAGATTATCGAAAGAAGGCTAAGACCAGTGATAGAGTATCAACTTTCAGAAGCACAGATAGGCTTTCGGGGAAATAGAAGTTGCACAGATGCCATCTATGCACTGAGACAGCTATCAGAGAAAGCAACGGAACACGATACGACATGTTTGTTGACATTCATAGACCAGGAAAAATCTTCGATATAATCGACAGGAAAATGTTGTGGGATTAAATGAGGGAAAAGGGAATCAGCAATCATCTTATTAATTTTGGCAAAAGCCTGTACACGCGCAGTAACTGTTGCACAAGATCGAAGGCAGGATTGTCAATAACTTTTATATTGAACTTTGGTTTATGTGTCAGGGCTGTGTAATGTCGCCTCTTCTTTTTATAACATACATGGATACTTTATGTAAGGAAACGAACTTTAATCATAAAAAAGATATTACAGAATTACTATTCGCCGACGACAAGGCACTCATAGCAGAAAGTATGCAATGCCTACAGAGCCACCTAAATCAAATTAATAACAAAGGGGATTATTTAATATGAGAATAAACACTTCGAAGGCAGAGACAGTGGTGATAGGAAGACAAAAAGAAAATTTAGAAATTAAGTTAAAAAATAACACCTTAAGACAAATAGAGGAATTCATGTATTTGGGAGCAATTTTCACATCCGATGGTAAACAGGACTGAGAAAGCTCGAGAATTTTCACATCCGATGGAAAAACTGGACAGAGCTATTATCTCGAAATGTACCAAAGCTAATCAAGTATTAGGGCAACTATCTCCCCTGTTGACACATAAGCAAATACCCCGGAGTACTAAAGTGAATCTTATCAGAACAATTTTTTGGCCAAAACTGTGCTATCAGTGCCAGACCCGGACACTTAAATCCTCTAATGAATGTAAAATTGTGATAACAGAGAGGAAATGCCTTAGAAGCTGCAGGAGTTTTAAGGAAAGACAGAAAACGAAAACAAACGAATGCTAGGAAGACCAGTCTTACAAGTCATTAAAGAACAAAAAACAAAAAAAAAAAGTGGTTTGGACACCTAACAAGAATTCCCTGTTACTATATACCACAGCTAGCCACACTGAAACGTTACCACGTGTATAGAGCGAGCGGAAGACCTCGAAAAAATGAAGTGATTATATTACGAACATCCTAACAAATAAACATCAATCTTAATAGTGCTCTTGACAGAGCTCATCAACGAACATTACATCTCCCTGCGAAACTTCACCGAGGTTCAAAGGGGAAGAAAAAAATAAAAAGAAGAAGATTACAATTTTTAAATAATGTTCTTACTTTTCTTTGTTTACTTCTTTCATCACTTATATAAGTACCTATCAATACCCGTCATGACTAATAAAAGCAGATGGTGCGCACCAAACATGTCTGTGACAGTAATGCGGAAGAAAAAAGTATCCTTATTACTGGTTTTGTGTAGTGTAAGAAAACAGCCTTGAACCAGTGCATCTATTTCTATCTGATTGGTGCAAATTCTTACAGTGCTAGAATGGCACTTTACTACTAAAGGAACATTATATAATAACTTCGCGTTTCTTTAACTTTTGTTTTTAACACTAAATGTATGTTGGATAATTAAACTGTTTTTAAAAGTGTTTTAGCCAAACTGTATGGGGGTCCTGTAACATAGTGGTCAAACCGTTTGTCTCGCACTCGCCTTCTTATTCCTGGATATAGTCGTCGGGGCTGCGATGTTTGTGCTTTGTACCACAATATCAGCAGTCAACTAGTTGGTCTGCGGAGAGAGACTGAGTGGTATGGGATAAAGCACGAGGCAATGAATCTCTCGAATCCAGTCTGTTAGGATACACTCCCACCCTCCAGGATTACAGTTTGTAGGATGAATAGCTCAAGGATGAGATTCAAACAGGTACAAGTCCCAGAAACCGCGTTCAGCCCTGCAGAACAGATACTTGAGAACACCTGACGGTTACATAGTAAGAGAAGTCTGGGTTGGGCTGGGAACTATTAT